ATCAGGCAGGCAGGCAGAGTGGTTAGGGGCGATGAAGCAGGCAGGCAGAGTGGTTAGGGGCAATCAGGCAGGCAAGCAGGTAAGCAGTTAGGAGCCATTCGGCCCTGGATTGCGAGAGGGACTACGAAAGGTTGCAGGATGGGCTGAGGGACCCCCTCCTCCAATGCACGAATATCATGCACAAGGCGTCTAGTATATATATAATAAAGAAATAACAAATGTCTCCTAGCATTGGAGGAGAGAAAAATTTGCTGTGTTTTAACTGTATCAAAAGATATGTTACGTGTGTGTGTGTGTGTGTGTGTGTGTGTGTGTGTGTGAGCTGTTATATAAATATATTTTTTAATTTTATTAAATTGGTTGAGGTGACATTGGTTAGCAAAATTATATAGGTTTCAAGTGTACAAATCTGTAAGGTATCATCTGTATATTGAATTGTGTGTTCACCACTCAAAAGTCAAGTCTTCTTCTATGATCATATATTTGACTGCCCTTTAACCTTTTCTACCTTCTCCCACTCCTCTTTTCTCTGATAACCACCATCCTATTATCTGTGTCTATGAGTTTTTGTTTATATCAGTTTTATATTCCACATATGAGTGAAATCATATGGTTCAGACTTTTTCCATCTGACTTACTCCACTTAGCATGACATTCTTAAGATCCATTCATGTTTTTGCAAATAGCAGTATTTCAGAAAGATTGTATGTTTTTATACCCACCATATCTCCTTTCTAAATGCAACATTTACCTAATTCTTCTGGCTAACATATGTCTCAACTATATACTCTGATGGAATTTTATCCTACATTCATTGCCTATCTCCTTTGATAATTCTTGCCAATGTTATTCTTGAAAAATGGCAATATGCTTCAAGTCTTATTACTGTGGGTCACATCTCCCTTCCTCTTGTGAATATTACATTTCTTAGAGGCATTGCACCATTATTCCCTTCTCTCCCCTCTCCCAGTTTTGGGCTGTTATTTTTTGCAAATTTTGATTTTTTGAATACAGATAGTACTAGAGTCTGAATGTTTGTGCCTACCCAAAATTCATATGTTGAAATCCTAGTGCTTGATGTAATGGCATTAGGAAGTGGAGCCTTTGGACAGTACTTAGGTCATTAAGGTAGAGAACTCCTGAAAGAGATTGAAGTTTTTTATGAAAGAGACCTCCCTGGGCTGCCTTGTGCCTTCCACACAAGAAACCTGTGACCCTGAAGAGGGTCCACACTTAACCCTCTGACTTCCAGCATACAGAACTATGAGAAATAAATTTCTGTACCAGAGCTTTTTTATCCACTCATCTAATGATGGACACTTGGGCTGCTTCCACATCTTGGCTATCCTATATAATAAAGAGGTAATATGGAAATTAAACACACGCCCTCACAAGATGGCTGCGTGGGGCGACAAGGCCAGCAGGGGGGTTAGTGAGGGACAACCAAACAACTGAATAAGCAGGCTGCATGGGGCAACCAGGCTGGCAGGGGGGGTTAGTGAGGGACAACCAAACGACTGAACAGCAGGCTGCGTGGGGCAACCAGTCCAGCAGGGGGGCCATGCGGGGTGACCAGGCCGGCGGGGGGGGACAGTTGGGGCAACCAGGCCAGCAGGGGGGGCAGTTACGGGCGACCAGGCTGGCAGAGGG